CTATATTAATTATACTATATTAATTATACTATATTATAATAATTTAGACAACTTATATAACTGCCCATCTTGCTACTGTGACTCTGAGTGGCTATTAATCCCAGGAAAGCGATCAGGAGGGAACGCCTGCTATTTGCTTTTTCAGATCAGAAAGTGTGGGCAGCTAGAGAGGCTGCAGAGTGGAAAAGGAAAACAAGCAACAGTATCAGTACCATGAACATTGAACTAAACTTGTCTTCTCCAACATGGCATTCTCCAAATGCTCTCTGCAAATTCTGGGCATTGTGGTGCAAAGCCTCTAGAGGATGCCAGTCTGAAGAAGGCATTGGAGGCAGCTCTTTAGAGCCCAGCCAAAATCTACAATGGTTAACAAGTAGAAAGATTTAAAATATTATGGAAATAATGAAGCGATTAAGGAACAAAATACCCAAGTCCTTTATGAGATTATAATCAGTGAGGAATCACATCTGGATTAAAATGGGGGGACATCCCATGCTCAGCCTGGCATGCAAATGTTGTGGCTGCTGTGGTTGCAGGAAATGTTTGCTTTCTTGAAGAGATAGCATGATGGAGTGATGGTCCAATAAAAACAAGGCATCATTTCCCCACTTTGGAATCCAAAATGTCAGGATTGCACAGAGATTGCAAAAATGGATGATAAATTATGTGGATGGAATTATGAAAATCTGAACAAACATATCCTTTTCTATACTACTAATTATGGTAGCAACATCTATAGGACTCTAAGTCCTATGTATGTGTGGGTATCAGTCTGTGTGCAAAGCCTGGCCCAGAGGAGAAAAGGAGCAAGTCAGATGGGGTGGTAGAAGGTAAGAAGGTTGAGTTGAGGGTAATTAAAATAATGAGACCAACTAGGAGAAAGTGAGGGAGGTGATTCCAATACATTTCAGTCTCATTTCATATTGGACTTCCTTTGCTGGCAATTTGTGAAAAATCACCATGTCTTCAAGAGTAACTTTAACCATAATTTAAAGTTAGATGTTTGGTCCAGACACATCTTCATGTGGTAGATGAGTGGTTGGGCCTTCTTCTCTCCCACACATTCTTTCAGAAGGAGAAATGCATAAATAGAATACATGAGAGAGGAAAAAGATGTAACCACATAGGGTTGTGCCCTGGACATGTATTGATTTGCCAGTATCATAACTGAAGCCTATTAAAATTCCAGTGGTTCAGTCAGTTTTAGACTGCATCTAAAAGTTGCTTTTGACACAGCTGCTTGAAGGCCCAGCTCTCTGGAGAAGCTGCTGCTCTTGGAGATAAGCCATGAACTTAGAGAATGCAAATCATGATGCAACTAAAAGGCCATGGCTTCCCAAGCCATGGGAAATAATTTCTTATAAAGTTGTATCAAATTTGCAATTGTTACAGTAAAATGACCCTAGAAAAGCACCAGAAACGGAAACTTGATTGCTCCTTTCCAAGAATATTGCGTACAGGCTGTATTCCTATGAGGTGGGTATGCTATTATCTGAAGGACTGCGCTGAAAGTACCTGAGAAATGAGGGCGCTACAGATGCTCAGCATGGAGCTTGAGCTTGTTGCCTGAGTATCCTCTGCAATATTGTGAACGGTCCTGAAGCACATGTGCTGATTGTGTGACGCCTCACTGCTACCTTAAAATCACTCCTAGACTCTCAGGGTGCTGACTGCATTTGTGCAAAAAGAGGCGGTGCAAGGATTTTTTAGCACTTTGGAAAGCCTGCAAGATCTGTACCCAATTTGTAAAACATTGCTTCTAACAACAAGAATCGCACTTTATCACACCATCTAGAATATTCTGATGTTTCTATCCATATCTAGATCCATATGCATCCTTTCCTAACCATAACAACATCAAAATGGCAAAACACACATCACAATGTCATGATGCAACCTCTGCCCTTCTGTACTTATGCGTGCAAATACATATGCAGAGGGTGGTGTTTGCACGGCAATGTCACAATGATGCATGTTTCGTCACTTGTCCCCTTCCTGCAGATGCCTATGGCTACAGTTGTCCAACATAAGAGGGTGGATTAACGCACATACAGTCATATTCGTGTCTACTCAATGTGAGTCCTATTAATTTCAATGGAACATATAGATAAGTATGCAAAGGATTTTGGCCATAATTTTATGTTGCAATTCTCACAGGTTTCTAGAATGAATCGATGACATGAAACCACAATGAAGGTGTATGGGTGGGGAGGGACCAGTGATTGAGAAGAGATAAATTGATGCTTCTTTGCCATGAGTGAAGTCTGCAGCTTCGCTTGTCGTCTACACCTAACCTGTACTGAGGAGATTTGCAGTGGCATTCAGAACTGCAGGTGATGCTCCTGGTCAACGAAGCACAGCCAACTTGAGCTCTACGGAGCAAAGGCAGGGTATAAATGTAATAGACTTAACTAACAGTCAAATCCTATGCAAATTTACTCAGAAGTAAGTCACCTTAAATAAGAACCTTATAAGAATATAAAGCCCTTCTAGTTCAGAGCAATGGTCCATCTAGTCCAGCATCCTACTTCTTGCTGTAGCCAAACCAGAAGCTGTGCTTGGTCTCTAGAAATGAGATTCAGAGGCCTCCTGCTTCTGATCAGAAGGTTGTATAGAATTTTATGGCTAGAAGACTTATGGTCTGGATTCAAACACCACATCAAGCCATAATGCGGTTCATTTTGGGCTTAGCATGATAAGGAAACCCATCCATAATGGCTTAATGTTAGTTGTAAACCAGGCAATTAAGGTTTGCTCAACCAGCCATGACTAGAAATCTGGGCATACTATTATATGTGATTCTATATTATATGTAATCCTCTTTTAAAGCCATCTGAGGCAAAGGCTATCATCCCAAAAAGGGAAGGGATGTAATTTGCAGAAAATCCTAGGTTTAGCCCTTGGATCTCCAGATAGGTAGAAACACTCCTATCTGAGATTTGTTGACAGTACTGGGCTAGATGGACTAATTCCAAAGTAAGTATGCATAGGATTTCAACCTAATTATCTAAATCAACTCTTGGTATGAGCTTTCTTAACTCTAGCTTCCTCCAGCTGGGATTACAAATTCTAGAATTCCTGGTCAGAAATCTTCAGTGGATGAAAAATGTGGGATTTCTTATGTCAGTATATCTGGGGAGTAGCAAATTGGGAAAAACTAGTCTTTACTACAGATCCCACAGGGAGCTGCAAAAAACAGAAGAAATCAACTTTCTCAAGTCAAGTCCTCTAATTCTGAGTCTAATTCTAGACAAAACCAAGAGCAACTAAAACAAATGTTGCCAATCCACCCCCTTACCCAAGGAAATATTTCTAGTAACTGTATTCAACCTTTTCCTTTGTCTACAAATCCCTAAATTCTCACCACAAAATCCAATCTATCTGAGAGCAGAAAATGTTCCTTGTTGTTTATAAAAAGAAAATAAATCAGTGTATCATATCTATCTATCTATATATATATACACAGACACAAACATATACATATATACATATATAGATGCATTTAACAAATCCTTGCAATGCAGATGTCTATTAGCAACATATAAGTATAGACTAAACATCTGCAGCCAAAATTAACTGAACCGGTTTTCCAAAAGAGGAAGCTCTGTTGAGAAGCAAGCAGTAATCACCACTGAACAGACAGGTCACAACACCGCATGACAAAATGATGCATCACCCACTCACTGTAGTAGGGCCCTAAGTCCTACCCCTAAATTTTAACACTCTCGGTTCCATATACGTTGTAACCTTCTCTATAAGTTGCTAAATTCTGGGTATTCTGCGAGGAAGTTGGATTAAAAGTCTGTGCACTCTTTGCCACCTTCATTCTCTTCGCCTCGGCCCTGGATTTGTAACAGAATTCTATCAAAGCCACCAGCATTGCCAACCCCAGGCCTCCAACCAGAATGTAGAAGACGCCTGCAACGTTGCTGAGACTCAGGGCACTCGTCTTGTCCTGGGGAAACAGAAGGAAGGGTGTTACATTCCAGGAACAAGTAGCTGGAAGTACAAACAAACAGTATGCTACAAACACTTGAGGGATCTAAGGAACAGATTCATTTAAATAAACAGGAAATTTAGAAAAATAAGAGCCATTGACAGACAGCTTTAATATAATTGGTACACCCCGATTTATAAAACAGAGAGACATGTAAACAAATTTTTGAAAATTGCAAAAGATGCTTAACCAATATTTTGGAATATGAGTCCCTTAGCTACTGTATGAGTAGCTGTGAAATAGTTTTACACAATGAAATGCAGTAGCTATAAAACATATCTAGCCTTTTCTTCCTAAGGTTTAATTGTGACGTAGACATGAGCTTCTTAAAGAATCTCTAACGAACGTATTGGTCTATGTAGTTCCTTTCCTACTAGATGCCCAAGGTGATAGGAAACATAACTTTTGAGAAGTTTGCCAATATTCGTTACAGTTTGTTTTCTAAATTCAGCAAAACGCATTTCCTATCAAAGCTATTATTTGGGGCATAAGGAATCTTTTTTTCTGAACTGCTACCCTCTAATTTCCTACCGTGCTGTCATGACTCTCTTATCAAATCTTAAACAGTTGACTGCAACGTGGTGAAAAGTGAGTATGTTCTGCTGGTTGTGAAAGTCAGGAAAACCATAAAAAATGTTAATAACATTCCTTGGATCAGGATCACTAGGTACAGAGTGGGAAACTTCAGTACATCTGCTTTTTTTTTTCTTCGTGATTGTGTTCTTTTTAAAGTATAATATGTTCTTTGTTTGGTGCTTCAGAATTCTACTAGGTTTGGAATTTAAACATGGATATATTAGTTTTACAGTAGTGTTAAAAGTGTATTTTTAGCCACTATATTGCTTTCAGATTGTGAATTGGTATTGCCACAATTCATTGCTCATTTTGGTATGGCCAGTATAGATATCAGATTGCAAAGTTTAGCATTTCCAAACAAAATTGTTTAATTGTCTAGCTTAACTCCTTTGGATAACAACTTGTTTGGGATTTGACACTATACTGCATACTGCTAATGAAGCAATTTAGTAGGTCTTGCCTTAAGCAATAAGCAATATTTTAATATTTTAAAATCAGAGTGAGTGGTCTGATCTTGATGACTTTTAAAATCAGTTATTGTAACAATACAATGTAAAGGTACGTTATTGAATACAGTAAGTTCTCTCTGGATTACAAAAGTGAAAAAGTGATGAGATGACAGCAGGCAGAAGTATTCACATTGTGGCATTCATGTTGGGTGCATAACTTTATAATCTTAGATTTCAAGTGTTACCAAAAGAAGTAAGAGCAGGGCTTAATTTTTAAAAGACATTTGGGGAATCAACTGCCAGCTGTCAGTTGCTCATGAGGAACAGTCAGCTCCAAAACAGTGAGTTAGAATGGAACTCCATTGCTGAGTAGTGAGAAAAAGGACCATATTAAAATAAAAGTATTGTCAGATCTGATAGAAATGTTCAAAATCATTCAAAGGAACCATTCTGAATCTAAGCATTCCAAGTATAAAAAATTAGAATATAGAAGTATGTAAAAAACACTTTGGGGGAGCTAAAGTTGAAGGGATTTATTCTTGATGGGAGAAGCCTTTGGATATGTTGTGAGTGTGAGTGTGAGTGCAGCCTTGGTGGATGCAGCTTTTACAGATCTGTATAATTGGAGTTGAAACATGAATTACTGATTTTACAGCAGTGTTAAGAGAATATAATTTTGTTCCACTGGATATTAACATCTTCAACATGATGGTTCTTCAATAGCTGATTTATTTCCATCCCTAAGTGACCAATAACTCCCTTGTGAACACAACAATAGGTCCCGAACTTCAGCAACTGACCTTACTTCCAGAATCCTTCGGTCCACATTCACCTTTATCGTACCACCATTTGTTTTTCAGCTTGTCTAAGACGCCTGCCTCACTGAGTTTCAAAACGGCAAGGTTTACAGGAGTTCTTCACGTGGGAAATAACATAAATAACATTATATATGTTATTTTATGTTATTCAAGTAAAACTACATAGAATCGCATGGCAAAGTGATGGAGCACAGGCCACAGTGGCTGCTATGTCATGTACAGAAGGCCTAGGGTTAGAGACAGATATACCATTGGGACCTGCTCCATCGCTTCAAGTAATGGGCACGTACTGCTGAGCAAAGTTTTAAATAAGTTGTTTGCAATTACTGTAAACCCAAAACTATTGGCTTAAATAATCCTTAATATAAATGAATGGATTGCCCAATAAAAAGTTCCCAGATAGTTTGAGAGGGTGCCTGTTTTTACTTCTTGTTTAATGTAAATGTGTGCCTAGCTATTATCCTCCAAAGAAGTCTGCCACTAAATTGTCAGCTGAACAATTTGGGCTGCAAGCCAAAACACTCTTATGAGAAATATATTCTATTGAATTCAGTGGGATCTACAGATAAGTTAATGTGCTTAGATTCACAATATGTATTTATAGGGACTGTCTTTTTTCAGTTGTTATATTTTGCAGAAGCCAGAATGTGTGGGATGGTTTGCAGAAGCTAAATCATGCTTTAAATACAATATTTTAAGATAGTGTACGTACAAGACACTTAACTTGGTTATAATCTACCTTAATTTCTTAAGCTAATAGGTTGTTTCGGATTTGACATTTCAGTAGAGAGGGTAATTGAAGAGTTTAGTAGGTCTAACTTTAAGCAATTGACAATATTTTCAAATGAGGCTATGACTTGCTTCTGAACTTAATGACCACTAATATCAGTCATTGTAATAACGTAATTTAAAGATATATTATTCAATACAGTAAAGAATATCTGAATTATAAATGTACAAAGCTGATGAAGTGATACCAAACAGAAATGTCTTCATGTGACATTCATGTTGGGGTCTTAATTTTTTAATCTTAGATGTTCAAAATGTTTCAAGGAACAGAGCTTAATTTTTTTTTGAAAGTTTGGAAATCAGATGTCATTAACTCCTTTTTCTGAGTTTGCCTAATACATTGAACCATCTATGAACCAAATAGTTTGTGTTTAAAAATACTTACACAAAAAACCCTAACCAAAGTTAATGGCCAAGATTAGCATGTCATAGATTGTATATCTTACGTTTTCACCTGACCTGGTTCAGCATGTTCTGCATAGACAGCCTCAGAACAAAGATAAGGGGAGATAAGTGTGATATAAATGTTACCTCTTTGGTACTTGCATCATACAAGTGTGTAAGGAGTAGATCCTGCATTGTGAGGTCACAGCACAGTTGTCATTTTGACATTATTGTGCCTAGCTGCTGATGCCTCTGATGTGTGAACACAGCCAACAATCTATAAATAAACCCCCACCAGCCATGAAGTTAACTGGATGAAAGGGGCATAGTGCAGATTGGCCTTATCTGTTTTCAAAGTAATTGACTTCATGAGATTTTTGTGAAGAAAGTATTACAAAAGGAAATGTCAGCCACACTAAGTTTTTGCTGACTGCCTTTTCTTGTCCTCAACAGGAGAACACTTTGACTTGTTAACTGGATTATAAAATCTGCAAAATGTCTCAGTTATAGCGCTCAGAGGACAACTTGAATTGTGCAGTCCTCGGTGCTCTCTGAGCTTGGTTGTTTGCTTGCAGACGTTTCATTACCCAACTAGGCAACATTATCAGTGCAAGTGAGTGCATGGTTTGTACAGGTGGTCCTTGTTTAACAACCACTCGTTCACAAACTGTTTGAACTTATGGTGCTGAATGAGTGGTACTTATGACTGGTCCTCATACTTATGGCCATCGCAGCATCTCCATGGTTACATGATTGCCATTTGTGACTTTCTTTGCTGGCTTTCTGCAAGTAAAATCAATGGGGAAGCCAGCAGAAGGTTGCAAATGGCGACCACATGATGTCCTTGCTTAACAACCTGTGGTGATTCACTTAATGACAGCAACCCAAAGTGCTGGAATTTCGATTGCTAAGCAGCATGGTCACATGAAGTCATGCTTTATGACCACACTGCTTAGCAATGGAAATTCCAGTCCCAATTGCTGTTGTTAAATGAGGACTACCTGTAGTCTGTTTATATATGGTAGCTTGCTCTGCCAGTTTTGGTGGGGATGTACTATATATAAACAGGCAGAAAACCCCGCACTCACTCACACTGATGGTGTTACCTAGTTGGGCAATGAAACGTCTGCAAGCAAACAACCAAGCTCAGAGAGCACCAAGAACTTTACAGTTCAACCCTGAGCTACAGATATTCTCTTCTGTTGGGACGACTTGAATACTAAAGGAGAATTACCTACCCAGGTTTCTTTGGAAGAAACTACAATAGGCCCACTTTCAAGTCTGTATTGTGCAGATCTGTCCTAACAGGAAATTACACTAGGAGCAAGAGAGATACCTGATGAAAGATACATAATGAACATACCAGAGGGATTTATTCTCTTTAAGGAATTAGGGGTGAGAGATCAAGCCAAAAGCCCTCTCTGTTAAAACTAGTTATTTATGGCCTAACCATGCCGCACGATAATCTAGCAGCACTTCTCTACTTTTGGTAGAGCTTCAGGAAACTTACTTTGGAGCTGGTTATTATTACTGAATGATACACTTTTTAAAAAAGTGAATTTCTTGAGCGATTGCCAAAATGACAAGAGGAACACCAATTTGGACTTCATGACTAATCAGCTGGGCCTGTGAAAAAGAAATCTGATCAGGATGCAAATATTTTTGCTTTGACAGTAATTGCATACATCTGGATGTTGGTTTGCAATGTATTAGCAGTGCCACAGGACACCGTTGTGATCTGGCTAGCCGGAAGGAAGAACCCCAGCAGACGCACCCATTACTCAACATTCTGTTTACCCGCTTTGGTGACATTGAAGCTAACCTTGGAGTCACCTCCCCCGCTGCCACACTCTCCTTTGTCGTACCACCATTTGTTTTTCAATTTGTCCAAGAGGCCTTGTTCATTCAGTTTTAAAACTGCGAGGTTAACAGCATTTCTTGAAACGATAAAACATATTTTGTAAGAAACTGCACAGCGGTTAAGATGTTAGAAGTAATGAGGATTTAAAAAGCTTTTATCTATGCACTAAATAAACCTCTCACTTGCATATTGCAAGATCCCTGTGAGAAAGAGAAAGCCAATTTGGGGTGGGGAACTATGCTTTTTGAGCATGAAAAAAACAACAACATCTTGATGGTTTAACACTCTAATGAAGTTATGTGATCACATGTTTCCAGTATGGTGATGAGGTACAGGCCAACTATCCAATTTGAGATAGATAGATAGATAGATAGATAGATAGATAGATAGATAGATAGATA